TTTTTAGCCGAAAAAAACGACCATGTATAGTAAGGCGTTTTCAGACGAAAAAAACGACCGTGTTTAGTAAGGCGTTTTTAGACGAAAAAAATGACCATGTATAGTAAGGCGTTTTTAGACAAAAAAAACGACCATGTATAGGAAGGCATTTTTAGCCGAAAAAAACGACCATGTATAGTAAGGCGTTTTTACCCCATAAAACGACCATGTATAGTTAGGCGTTTTTAGCCGAAAAAAAACGACCACGTATAGTAAGGCGTTTTTAGCTGAAAAAAACGGACGAAAAAAACGACCATGTATAGGAAGGCATTTTTAGCCGAAAAAAACGACCATGTATAGTAAGGCGTTTTTACCCCATAAAACGACCATGTATAGTTAGGCGTTTTTAGCCGAAAAAAACGACCACGTATAGTAAGGCGTTTTTAGCTGAAAAAAACGGACGAAAAAAACGACCATGTATAGTAAGGCGTTTTTAGCCGAAAAAAACGACCATGTATAGTAAGGCATTTTTAGCCGACAAAAACGACCATGTATATTAATCCTTCGAGCCGGATTTTAACCAGCGACCTCTAGATGTCTGTATGCGCCACTACAGTCCTCCGCTCTACCAGCTGAGCTATCAAAGGGTACAAGAACACATTTTTTACATGCTTAAAGGCATAGTAAAGTAAGTGCAGAAAAGCATGAGTAAGAACATAACCTGCGTGTCAAGTAAGTCCTTCCAGCTGGATTTGAACCAGCGACCTAAGAGAACGATGACGCCTCCTCATTGTCGAAAGTTATGCTGTGTTTTGGATGTTGCATTTTCCCCGCATTTGGAGCCTCATGACTCTTTCATGGGCTTGTTCAATAAATCAGGAGGGTAAAATGAGTCGCCAGCAGAGATTGGCCACTGGTTGTGGCATGCGGCCCGTGTGGCTTAGCAGATTGCCTGCTTGGATCCGTCCTGGTCCCGGACGGGTTCTGGTCTTGGCCGAAACTGGAGGATCAGACTTGCATGGCTGTCAAAACACAATGTGTGTAAAAATCTCTTCAATTGGTGAATTTTAGTGTACAAGTACTAAGAATGTTCTCCTTTGCCACTCGGTGTGCTGAGTTTTATGTCACGTGACAAAACGAGCGCACTTCGATAGAAATCAGCAACATCAGATGTCCGAAGACACAGACAAGCACGGCGTCGAACCGTCACCCTCTCCACTGAGGCAATGTGTTCACCACGATGGTGCCGTGTTGCTCTGCATTACACATGCTGTTGATTTAGAGCAGTTGTAACATCAGCCTTGTCGTGGACAACATCAAGGTTGTTCCACAAAGCAATCGATAACAAGGGCAGATCAAATGAAACTGGCTTTTTTGAGTGACATTGAAAAAAAATGTCATCAAAAGTGAAAAATGAGAGACTATTTTGGGCCCACGTTGAGATCTCAACTACAATGGTACCTTGAGACACAAGTACCTTGACTTTTTACACTGATGAGCTTTTGAGTGGATATTTTTTGTTGTTGTATTTTTGGTCTTGCGATACAAGCAAAAATCTGATTTTCGAGTGCGTTTCAACAACATACTCTACGTCCTCCGACCGCTCTCATTTCACATTGCAGTGCAAGGACAATTTCATTTGCTGGTGTCAATGCACCCACAGAAGTACAACAACCAAAAAGGGACAAAACATGACATCGTAAAATTTTGTGTTTGCTGGTTGTGCTGAGAGCAAATGTTCTCGGGTTTTATACAGTATAACTACGAGTGCAATTTTTGTTCATGAAAAACAAAACACGTTGAAGTTTCGTTGTCTGTCAGAGGGAGCTGGCACGGATTAATTACATTAGCATTCATTTCAATTGGGAACAATAATTTGAGACGCTAATCAAACTCATACCTCGAGGCAGCGCTGTAGCTTGAACACTGACCACATCTCCGTGCTCAAGGAAAACAGAACCAGAGTGTGTTTTTTAAAAAATCCATAGATTGTTTAATACAACATACCATATTGTCAACAATTCAACATCACCAAATTTTTGTTAATTAAAAAAAAAAAAATCTGCATATAAGCTTTATTGCACAGAACAAGTTTAATGATTTTTTTTTTCCCCCCATATATGTGTTTTTGTTTTTTTTTCTTTTCATAAAAAGTTGGCTTGGACTACATGTTCACTATCGTCCAGGGTCAAAAAAAAAAAACCAAACAAACAAAAAAAACAAAAAAAAAACATACATATTCCAATCCTCCTCGGGACCAAAAGATGCTGGGTACAGTAGCCACACCTGGAACACACAGACAGCATTCATAAGCCGTGAGCCATTTCCACGGCTGCTTTGTCTTTTTTTTTTTTTTCCTCTACTTTATGCAAAAGGGATTACACCAAAGCCGCTTCACATTGCATCCACGGGTGAAACCATCTGTGCCGCTGCCGTCGTGCGCATTTTCGCAGCCCATTAGCGCATCTCCGTCAGCGGTGAGGTCCATTATGGAGAACCTGGCCCCCTTTCCTTTTTTTTTTTTTTTGCAAAGGCCGGCCACAGTGTGCAATTGAGAAACTAAGGCTAGAAGAACCTCACCATTTCATACGGAGGACAGTGTCTCTTCACATCCTCTGACCCAACACGGTGACGTTTTATGGGAAAACGTAAATGTGTCAATAATCGTCAATTCCACGGCTTTTCATGAAACCAGCGATGACATATTACACACACAAACACGCAAACAAAAAAAATGGAAGCCAACTTTTATTCCTCACGGTCATTTCATACATAAAGGATCCAATTCTTTTTGATAACCAAATGCCGTTCGATAGCAGGATCATCAACAGGCAGAATTGACAAAAAAAAAAACCAAAAAATAAAACAGACTTCCTTCAGATTGATTCTCGTCTCTGTGGTAGCTTCAATTTGATATGACGACGACTAACGATTTATTTTTTCCAACATTACCAAGAAAGTGTTCGACATATTCCAACATATGGACGCAGGAGATGTGTTCACATCAGGTATTTCGAACAATGCAAAAATAACAAAATATAATTTCTCTCTCTTCTTATTTTTTTTTAACAGCAGGTTTACATGGTAACATTAATTTGATAATGCAGTGGTTGATAGTAAAAATAGCTTGTCTGTACAGCAGCATAAATTTTGGTCGAATTAGTCCTGTCACAACATTGTCAGGAGTTTTTTTTTTTTTTTTTTTTTGCCATAGCGTAAATTTACTGTTGCCTTAATATTGTTTTAATTCTTCCCAATTTCAATTTGTCCAGAATTTTTCTTTTTTTTACATTGCGTCTCAAGGGTTTTTACCTGTGTTCCCAATGTCAATTTGTCCAGAATTTTTTTTTTTTTTTACATTGCGTCTCAAGGGTTTTTACCTGTCTAAGAATATTTAAAGTTGGAAACGTTCACTGGTGATGAATAGGAATGACATTGAACAGGTAGAAAAAAAATCAAACAAAAGTCATATTTAAAAAAAAAAAACAAAAAAAAAAAAAAAAAAAAAATCGCATTTCGAACACCGTTGTGATGAAATGCATTGATTTTGAACTTCAGCCCTGACAGAGATCATTCAGAACTTGACATGTTGCCTCCAGATGGGCGCGCGCAAATGAAAAGAAATGCAGACGCAAAACAGCAATGGGCAAACCGTCTCCCTCTTGCGTTCTGGCTGCTTGCATGGGTGTAACTCTTGTCCGTTATATTGTTCCCGAGCATCGATCCAAAGGAACATGGACTGTTTATGACTAACATGACTTTCAATAAAATCAGACCACGAGCCGTGCGGACCTCCACTAATGCCTCGTTGCGGTGGCCGTGCTTTCCTGTCCTCCCGATTGAAAAGTCAACGACCGGCCCGCTCGGCTTCTTAAGTCCTTCGGAATCCAGTGCTGAGTACAGATGATGAAATGCATTGATTTTGAACTTCAGCCCTGACAGAGATCATTCAGAACTTGACATGTTGCCTCCAGATGGGCGCGCGCAAATGAAAAGAAATGCAGACGCAAAACAGCAATGGGCAAACCGTCTCCCTCTTGCGTTCTGGCTGCTTGCATGGGTGTAACTCTTGTCCGTTATATTGTTCCCGAGCATCGATCCAAAGGAACATGGACTGTTTATGACTAACATGACTTTCAATAAAATCAGACCACGAGCCGTGCGGACCTCCACTAATGCCTCGTTGCGGTGGCCGTGCTTTCCTGTCCTCCCGATTGAAAAGTCAACGACCGGCCCGCTCGGCTTCTTAAGTCCTTCGGAATCCAGTGCTGAGTACAGACAAATTCTCTCCTTTCCCCCCCTTTTCTTTCTCTTAATTCCTTTGCGCGGCCGCTCCTTTAATTAAATCATTTTCATATTAAACTTGCGAGGGGCGTCCGCCGCGCTGCTGCTCATGCCAGCGTCCGACGTGCGCGGCACGTACTCGATCTCGATGTTGTGCTTTGTGTTGCCTTTGCCTCTGCTCCAGAGGAAGAGCAGCACCAGGCAGAACAAGACCACTCCCAGAAAGGAAATGAAGCCCATGGTGGTCGCGATGATCAAGGTCTTTATGTCGAACGGGAAAGGGACGTTGGCTCGCGTGTCGTTGGCGCCCGTTTCTGCGGGCTGGTTGGAGATGAACGCAAAAGTCTTGTTGGCTTTTCTTTCTCTTAATTCCTTTGCGCGGCCGCTCCTTTAATTAAATCATTTTCATATTAAACTTGCGAGGGGCGTCCGCCGCGCTGCTGCTCATGCCAGCGTCCGACGTGCGCGGCACGTACTCGATCTCGATGTTGTGCTTTGTGTTGCCTTTGCCTCTGCTCCAGAGGAAGAGCAGCACCAGGCAGAACAAGACCACTCCCAGAAAGGAAATGAAGCCCATGGTGGTCGCGATGATCAAGGTCTTTATGTCGAACGGGAAAGGGACGTTGGCTCGCGTGTCGTTGGCGCCCGTTTCTGCGGGCTGGTTGGAGATGAACGCAAAAGTCTTGTTGGGCTGGAAGGGCCAATCGGGCGAATAGCTGTGAATGTGCAGGTGAGCCAGAGACGTGTCGTTGCCGCCCGCGTTGCTAGCGATGCAGACGTACGTTCCGTTGTCCTGAATCTGAGCGTAGCGCACCTCGAGCGTACCGTCCGGCAACACGGAGATCCTTCCGATCGTTTTGGCGGTGATGAACTTCTTCTGCGGGGACAGCCACATGATCGCCGGGGCCGGGTCGCCGTCCGCCTCGCAAGCGAAGTGAACGATCGCGCCCTCGTCGACAAACTGTTGCTGCGCCTTGCGGTCCCTGATCCTGGACTTGCGGCAGGTGAAGTAGTTGGGCTGCAGGACGTCCGGGAAGTCCTTGAACTCTTTGCCTTGGACAAATTCAGGGGAGGCGCAGGTGGGCTGCTGCCGGTTGAAGTTGAGTCGCCAGCGCCGTCGGAAAACCCACAACATGCGACAGTCGCAGGCCAGGGGGTTGTCGTACAAGGCCAGGGTCTCCAAGTTGCCCACCGAATGGAACGCGGACTCCTCCAAAGTGGTCAGGGAGTTCCCCGAAACGTTGAGAATCTTCAGGTAGTTGAGACCGCGGAAAGAGTAGGGCTCAATCACGGCGAGTCGCCCCCCGACGAGGTGAAACTCCTGAAGGCGCAGCAGATCGTGGAGCTTATTCCCGTCGATGGTGTGGATCGGGTTGTAGGAAAGATTGAGAAAGCGCAGGTAGACCAAGTGGCGGAGGGCGACGTAAGGAATGGCGGTCAGGTTGGCGTTCGCGACGGTCAGAGAGGTCAGGTTTAATCCATACAAGCAATTCGGGGTCATTGTATCCAAATACGGCCAATTGGCGATCTCCAGCACTTTGAGCCGAAAGAGGCGTTTAAAGGAATAATCCCGTACCACGTTGATGTTGAGGTGCCGCAGCCTGAGCGTGATCAGACTGTGCAGGTGGGTGAAGGCCTCTGTTGGCACAGAGGACAGGTTGCACTTCTCCAGACTCAAGTGCTCCAGGCTACTCAGTCCGTGAAAAGCCCGGTGGGAGATGAAGACCAGGTCGTTGTCGCCCACCTCCAAAGAGCGCAGGTTGTACAAATCCTGGAACATATAGTCCAGCAGGATGACGATCTTGTTCTCGCTGATGTCCAGCTGAGTGAGGTTGCTCAGGCCCGTGAAGACCCCGAGCTGGATCAGCTTTAGCTTGTTGCTACGGAGCCCGAGTGTCCGCAAGCCGAAAAGGTTGTTGAACGCGCCGGGTTCAATGGTGGAGATTGTGTTCTCGCTCAGCTCCAGGTGCTCCAGGTTGGCAAAGTTGGCAAACTCGTCGGGGTTGATGGTTCTTATGCGGTTCTTGCTGAGGTCCAGCAGCCGGGTTTCCGCGGCGATTCCCTCGGGAACCGTCATGAGCTTCTTGCGGTGGCACAGCACGGAGCGCTCTGCGACGTTGCACTCGCAGCGGGACGGGCAGCCGGTGGTGGAGACGGACAGCACCACGCCCAGCATCAGGATCAGAATGGGCTGCCAGCACGTTGCCAGGAAGCTGTGCCCAGTCGCTTCCCGAGCCGCCATCGTATCGGTTACCTGCGGGATCAAGCAAACAAGCCGCAGCGGGGCATTAGAAAAGCACGAGCGGTGACGGACAGATGGAAGCGGTCGAAACGGCGGACTTGTAACAAAGTTATCGTTCACGTTAAAGGGTGGCGGGGCGTGCGTGAGAGCTTTTCCAGTTGTCTTTGGGCAGTAGGCGGGGGACACCCTGAACCGGTCGCCAGCCAATCGCAGGGCACACAGAGACGGACAACCATCGGCGATCACACTCACACCGAGGGACAATTTGGAGTGTTCAATCAGCCTGCCACGCATGTTTTTGGAATGTGGGAGGAAACCGGACTACCCGGAGAAAACCCACGCAGGCCCGTGGAGAACATGCAAACTCCACACAGGGAGGCCGGAGTCGGAATCGAACCCTGCATTTCTGCACTGTGAGGTTGACGCGCTCGAAACCACTCCAATGTGACGCTATTCCACTAAATATATCGGAAAGGATCAATTGATGCGGTGCCAAAAACTCGACAGAAAGAAGTGGAAGCGTGCGATGGTTCGTGTCCCATCTTCAAAACCAAAGACCAAACAATGCCGGCAAGCCGCCGTTCTTCAAAGCGCCATGTAGGCAGTGCGGCTCGCGGGTGATCAATCGGTGACCGCCAATCATGCTCATAATTCGGAACGCGGGCGCAGCTGCGAGTAAGAGGAACATTTTTCAATCCGCAATCCAATTCTCACTGGGGCACGTCAAGGGTTCCGACGTCAAGTATCAAGCTAATATGACTCCGGGAAGAAAAAAAAAAAAAAACAGAGAGACAGTGGCCCTAAACGAAGATCATCTTTGTGCAGTAGTAGTTGCTTTTGCTGACAGTTGACCTGTGCCATCGATACAGAGAATACATCCCCCCACCCCCCACTCCCCCCATTGCCACACTGAAATGAAGCCATATGCTCACGTCCTCCCCCGCCTGCAATTAAACCTTGGCGAAATTACCACCAGGTGCGCTCGAACAACGACGACGGTAATACAGTGCAATCTGGTAGCTAACTCAAAAGGACCCTAACGATGATTGTGTCATCATTTCGAGAGCATCTGAAGGACTTCTCGCCATCATTAATCTTGAGCAAAATTCTGAGGGCCAGACGAAAAAAAGAACTCAGCAAATGTTTCCAGATCATAATTGAGATTGGTGAATACTTTTTTAAAATGCAGCCTTCGTGCCAGTTTGACTTGCAGTAAGCCCACTTGGGGGGGGGGGGGGTTGCGACTGTTGGCGAAGGGAGCAAAATGCACATTCTTGTCAGGGTTCGTTCAAGGTCGCAGATGTTTGCAAAATATTTTAAATGTTCACCAGACGTTCGCCAACAGTTTTAGTGCTTTCTCATTGCTGCAAGGGAATTTTGAACATGCCGCCCCCGCCCCCCCACACACACACACAAAGGTCTCGACAACCAAATTTAAACCAACTGAGAGAGCGAGACAGACAGACAGACAGAGAGAGACAGAGACAGAGAGACTCAGAGGCGAAGGCTGAGAGACAGAAACAGAGCAAGACAGAGACAAAGGCAGAGACAGAAGTGAAGGCAAAGAGACAGACAGAGAAAAGAGAGAGAGAGGGACAGAGGCGAAGGTAGAGAGGCAGAGAAAGACAGAGCAAGAGAGAGAGACAGAGAGAAAGAGAAAGAGAGAGAAAGACAGAGGTGAAGGCAGAGAGGCTGAGACAAAGGTAAGGAGACACAGAGAGAGAGACAGAGAAAGACAGAGAGAGACAGAGACAAAGGGAGAGAGACTTCGAGACAGAAACAAAGAGAGAGAGATAAAAAAATATAGAGACAGAGAAAAAAGGGGAGAGAGAGAGCGAGAGAGTCCAAATTGGAGTCAAAGGCCCCTGCATTGCTGCGATTACCTTCAATGTTTCTTTTGTTCTCATTCTGCATGTCTAAGTTAACGTGAAAAGACCAACCTACAAGGACGTTGGTCTGTCGCCGTCCGTCTTCTCATCAGATGCGGTGCACCAAACTAGCAAGACTGTTGGGACGCTACCAAGTTAATTACGAGGTTGTTGCTACCGACCGCGAAGAACTTCAACCACAAGACGGATGGGCGCGCCAGTCCCGTCGACACCTTCTAGTTCATCTTCCCGCCCTCCGAGGTCAACGGTGAACACGAGACATCGGACGATAGCATCTTTAATCAAGACGACCGAGACGATGATATTACCAACAGCCTCGCGGCCTCCGCCATCATTTTTCTTCACTAAGCCGTATCGATCTGAGCTCCGTTGGACACGCCGCCGGGAAAGAGGGAGTGGCCTGAACGCCAGCTCGTCTCTCGTATGGCTTTGGCGTGCGAGTCAATGAGATGCCGTTACGCCGGACGTGATTACCACTGACACTCCATCGGGCTGATGATCCCATTATAATCCCCCCCCCCCCCCCCCCCCCCCCGTTGGTAAAGCTCGGCGTTTGCACATTCGGCAGGTCACGTTCCTTCACGCGGATGTTCACGAGATACAAAACGACTGACGCGACGAGCCCCGGGGGCCAGCTCGCCCTCCCTTTTAATTGAATGATTTATGGCTATCGCTCGCTCGCAGGCACGTCCTTTGAATGAATGAATGAATGAACTTCTCCATTCCAATCGAGGCTCCATGAGAATGCTAGCCTTTAATTATGGTGAAGTGAGAGGGGAGGGGGCGAGGGGGGGGGCGCTCTCAAAGGGTTGACGGACAGTCAGACAGCAGTAGTCAAACAAGCCAAGGCCCACTGGGCCAAGACCACTTTCAAAATCACATCACTGATGACCAAAGATTAATTAGTTGGACAGTGATGCTTTGCTTCAGCTACTGCAGCTCATTTTAGCTTCAGTCCGCTGAAGTTTTTGTGATCCCAGCAGATTTATTGGAGTTTCACGATGGCAGGACTTTTCTTTTATCCACCCATCCATTTTCTGATCCGCTTTATCCTCACAAGGGTCGCGGGGGGTGCTGGAGCTTATCCCAGCCGTCTTCGGGCAGTAGGCGGGGGACACCCTGAACCGGTTGCCAGCCAATCACAGGGCACACAGAGACGAACAACCATCCGCGCTCACACTCACACCGAGGGACAATTTGGAGTGTCCAATCAGCCTGCCATGCATGTTTTTGGAATACGGGAGGAAACCGGAGTACCCGGAGAAAACCCACGCAGGCACAGGAAGAATATGCCAACTCCACACAGGGAGGCCCGAGCCGGGGTCGAACCCACGACCTCTGCACTGTGAGGTCGACGCGCTAACCACTGAGCCACCCTCCAAATTTTCAATGATTGAAAAAAAAAAATGTAATTAATGGTTCTCAAAAACATATTACTCTTTCATCCATCAGTGAATATCAATTTTTTTTTTTTTTTTTTTGACTGCCTGGATTAAATGGTGAAGCGACCTGACGTCAAACAGATTTCACGCGTCCGCTTTTGGACTTTCTTCCCGCTTTGTGTAATTGCCTTCTGTAATTAAAGTGCTCGTGCGGGCTTCTCAAAGACATCAACCGGGTGTGTGGGGGGGGGGGGGGGACCTAAGCTTTAGTCTACCTGACACAACACATTAGTCCAGAGCTTGCGCTCACCGCCGTCATAAATACCTGTAAGCTTCGGGGAAAATCTCCCGCCATGATGCTGACGCTGTGTTGCAGGACAAAGCGTTAAAAGCCTCTCAAGCTCGTTCTTTTCCAAAAGCGCTTAGTCGGCTGCGAGGCTCTGCTTGAATGGACTCACCTGTGTTTACTTGATTATTTATTTAGACACCCTTATGCCAAGCATAGACGCTCGGATGAGGTCCAACGGCATCCATACATAGTCGATGGCTTTCATCCTTTTCTGTGTGTGTGGGGGGGGGGGGGG